ACAATAGAAGGAAAAAAACATCATAATTATGTCAATACACAGGAACTACAAATTGCTAATCTTTTTTCTATGTATTTGTTTCACTGGTGTAGTTTTTGTTCACTTCAACACTTCAACTTATTCAGGTGGTTGACTAAAGTTGCAGTGATGACCACTTCCTTTCTGTATTTAACACATCTTGTGTTCTCAGATTACTCCTACCTGTGATGCAATGTAAATGTTCACACTGAGAACAGACACCCCCTGAAACCAGCTGACCTGTAATGTTTTGGTGTAATTTTGCCAGTGGTACTAGAACAGCAGTCATGTGGAATAATTTATTAGCATCTTATGTCTTAGGTGCATTAAAACAGTTTGAGTTCAGTTTGATTTAATTTTTCCATTGACTTTTGGATTATTGCAGAAAATAAGTTCTGTGACTTTTTACACACACATTCACACACGTATATATACTCATATACTCACTCATCACGTACTGACAAAGTCATAAATGCACATTCCCATCTACACTAATCTACATCTCCTTTCACAGGATTTCTCTTTTGGATTTTCAAGGTCAGTATCTTCACTGGGATTACAGGTAAGTGACAGGTAAGTAAAAGTTAAAGTGTTAAATTGCCTATACTTACCTGTCCTTTCAGACAGGTAATTATAGGACCTTAGTTTTCATAAAAACACCAGCTAAGTAACAGGTAAGTGTTTAACATTGTGTTGATTTGTGTAAAAATATGAACTTGTCTTGTTACTACTTTTAAACCTGGCCTATATGAATTGTGTTCAAATGAAGTAACACAATCTGACTGAACAGGATTTTATACTAAAAGTAGAACTCTTATTTTGAAAACGTCATATTTCCAGTGACGTTGAAGGGATAGCATATTATTTTTTTCATGGTGATTGGATTTAGGCCTCAAAAAACATTAAAGTGGTTTTCATTTGTGAAGAGATGATCTTGCTGAACTTTTGTTTGTCACAGAACTTATTTTCTGCAATAATTGAAAAGCCAATGGAAAACTCTCATTGGCTTTTTTGTGGCGGTAACCAGGGTGATGATATCGACCAGATAGGCCTACAAAAATATGTCATTCCTGCAGCACCTGAGCGCCCTCTGCTGACAATGCTGTATAGGATCTCAGCAGGAATCAAGTAACCACACAGCCCAGTAAAAGACCTAATATCAGAACAATACAGGTTAATGACTGATTCATTATTTTTCACTGAATTCAAAACTTTTTAGGGGTGGAGAGGCGAATATTTTCCTGTCTTTTCAAATACCCAGTGCCACAGTAAACCAGAGTTTGAGAGGTGTCTCTCAACTGAATCCATGTCTCACTCAGTAGAAACTTAAAATCACCACGGCAACCTCAGGCTGCAGTCTGGCACAAACGGCTGATTCCCTGCTTCACACCCTCTGCCAGCTGCCAGCTTCCTCTTTGCTTAAACCTTTGACATTAAAATACCTTAAACCATCTCCACCTTGTCTGTGTCGGCTTCTGAGTCCAAATTCAAAAGTAACAAAGTTGCAACAATTTCTCTCTAATTGAGACTCAATTTCAAAAGATTTTCGCAATGTAAACCAAAATAAAAGATAGTGACTGTTAATATACAGTATACTGTATATGTCCATAAAAAAATCACAGTTTAGCCTCAGCTTCTCCAGAGGCCAATCCCACTGCAATTTCTTGCAAGTTGCATTGTCTAGTTAATTTCATTATAATTTGCCTATAATTTTGAATATTTGATCCTGCTATCATTGCTGCTGTAATTATTAAATATTATTTTAATAAGTAATACTTAAAATACTGAATTATTTAAAATGTACACACCTTCTTATTTATGGTTGATTTGTTAATTTTTCTATTTTATTCTATTGTTATACTTGTTTTTTTTTTCTTCTACCTCGTTTTTCTATGCTGCAGTAACAAGTGAATTTCCCCGGTGCAGGATCAGTAAAGATTTATCTTATCTTATCTTAATAACATTAATAAAACTATAAGTATCACCTTTTATTGTTGTCATTATAGCAACAAGTCTGACAACGCTTGAATACAACAGTATATATAGCTGTTCTTGATCTCTCCCCTCTTCCTCCTCTCTCCCTCCATCTCACTCCTCTCAACCCCACTGGTCGCGGCAGACGGTCGCCCACCCTGAGTCTGGTTCTGTCTGAGGTTTCTTCCTGTTAAAAGGGAGTTTTCCTCTCCACTGTTCTAAGTTTTACTAAATTGAATTGAATGCTAACCACATGCACATCCAGGACAGCCCCCCCTACTGAAAACATGTGTATGTGCATGTGCACTAAGGTAGGAGGTTGGTTGAGACACAGCAAAAACACGCTTCACTTCCTTATATGAATCACAGTATGAGATGTGTCAGAATGGGACCTATTTCATTTATATGTACTTTTTTTCTGGTGCATTCATGTCAAATGCAAGGTAAAACCACATTTTTTATACTAATATTTCAAATTATATTTCTAAAATCTGATTGTTGTACCTTAGTATTAACATATCAAGATGAAATTACAGGCTCCAGTGCTGTGACTCCTGTATTCATGCAGAAGGGGAAGGATTTACTCCTGGAGGTGATGGAGGATGATGTACCTGAGGAATTTATTGTTCTTCAATGGAATTTCAATGGAAGTAACGCTTTAGTAACATTTTCACCTGGTAGAGAACCAATAGTCTCTAATGTTTACACTGGAAGGGTTGAGGCTTCTGTGAAAAATTTCTCTGTGAAACTGAAGAATCTACAAGAGGCAGACAGTGGAGTTTATATTGCAGAAGTGATTGGGACTGAAAAAGTACAAATACTGGCTGGACACAACGTCACAGTTCAAGGTAGGTTTGTTAACACCCATTAGTTTTCTCTTTTTTTTCAAAAATTAAGTTTTTTTTTTTGTTTTGTTTTTTTTTACAACAGATCAGATTTGTTAGTAAGAAATCTGCGTTGTTAAAACTGCACTCTGTCAAAAGATGAAGATGTTATTCTGAGAGTAGCACCCGCTCAGTTGCATGAATTTAAACTGTCACAATTTTCTAATCTGATTTTTGCTTTTTATTACAGATGATGTATCCAGAGGCCATAATACTGTTATTCCTCTTGCTGTATCTTTGGTTACCATCACAATAGTCACAGCAGCTTGTTTTTTTGTTTATCTAAAATTAAGAAAAGGTAAGTCAGAGTGTGTTTTGTAACAGAGAATACCAAAGTTAATTCTGCAAATCCTATTGATATACTATACATGGTAACATCCTAGCAGTGTGTTTCATTTTCTATACCCATAAACCCCTCCTATAGTTAGTGCAATACAATAATTATATAATTAACAATTTCTTAGATCCTTCACATAATATACAGGCGCATACATGGCTGGGAATCAACATGGGGGGGGGGGGGGGTTTAAAAGTGCTGTGTAAAGATTTAGTGTAGCTGTGTAGGTGCACCACAAGTAATGTAAATATTAATGCCGTTAAGCAGTAGAAATCTATCAAAATGAAATGTAAATTAAAGAAAAGTAAAACATGTTCTTTATGTCTGACTTGCAGAAAAAAGAAAAAAGATCATGGAAAATACAATGTATGCATTTGCATTTCCTGAGGTAAGTTTCATATCTGCCTCCCAAAGTTGTCAGAAAAGAAATTTCAGATTTTGAGCAATCTTACAATAGAAACCAGTTTTGAGGAAACAGGCAAAATAAAGAAATGTTGCCTGTCTGCCACATGTGTTCGTCACTGATCCTGCTGCTTGCTTGTGCTCAAACAAAATGCTTTGCACCGGATCAACCTGATGAATATCCAGATGCAGCGTGATCCACCTATCCAAACACCCTACCGAGATCTTGTCTGTGAATGATTCAACTAAAACTGCAGAATGTGTCTCAGTTTGCTTGTGTTACAGTTTTTTTTTTTTTTTCATCATTTTAATACATTGGTATAAATTAAAGGTCCAGTTTTCAGAACAGGTGACACAAACACCAAAACTATGTTCCAATTTGAAAAACAGCAAATGTATGATCCAAAAGATGTTGAGTTCTCGAAACTCAGCGCGCTTTCTTTTCCTTTCGCTTCTGTTTTTTGACAAGGCAACCAAAGCTATTTTCACTTCATACTGAGCCAAAAGTTTTGGATATTCTTACACTAAAGACTGTTTTATGAAAAAATACAAATTCATTGTGTTGTCATTAAAAACAGCCAGTGATACAGATGTTTGTGGTTTTGAAGGACATAGATGAGCTATTGTTAATCGTAGTGAAATTACTTCATATGTTAATACAGTATAATAGCACAATTAAAATGAGGTGGGAAGTAAAAAATAGTAAACAACCTTTGCTAGAAACGTTTTCTGTGATTTATTTTCCAGGTTGAAACGAGCCGACCTGTGGATCAGAGTCCAACCAATGATGTTTCAGGTCTTTGTCCAGTTTCCACCTACTGCATGACAGGGTCTCACCCTGGACCCATGGGATCCACTGAGACGCGAATGCCAGAAAGCCTGTTTCTAACTCTTTTGATCATGAATACTGAGGTACAAAAGCCTGCTAAGGCTTAAAAAAATGTATTCCACATACTGCACTTGTATTTAAGTGCAGCCCAAGCTGACGACACAGCATGCACCCCCAGCATGCAGGTGTCTCTGCAAAATAGTATTGATTAGCCACTCTATGCCCAGTCAATATAGGCTTAATAGTTTTGTTCATAAGTACCAACACTGGCCTACTAATTAGAGTGTGGCACAAAAATATGGGCACTTAAACTGAGCAAGTGTAGATGATTTTTAGGCTGCATGCTTTGTATTTTAAGATGTTGTGCAAAATCATATTGTAGATGGATCTAATACAACAAAGCGTCTGAAGAATGAATGCAAATGAACAAAGTTGAAAGGCTCTCCAGTGTCCAGCTGGTTTGAAAGAGGAGCTGCAATTGTTTATATTCTTGTTTAGTGACAATCTCTGTAGTTTCATTTAGCCTCTTGTTAATAACTGAACTGATTTGAGCTTAGTAGCTGTTTATTATTTTAAATTTATTTTATCATGTATATTATTGCATTCCAAGAAGACTGCTTGAAACAGAATCATATTTTAATGATTTCCCGTTAAGAGACAGACAGTTTTGTACTTGTCTGGTTTCTAAAGACTTGAATTAACTTTGCATGTGTTGAAACATGAAGCAAGTTATTAAAACAATTGTTTTTTTCATATTAGTAAGATTAAAAAGATATTAAAGGAAAACTGAAAATCCATCTCTTTGGAATCAAGTACTTGCTACTTGTGGTTGCTCTGCAAAGTTTGCAGCTGTTCTGAACTTAAGGATCAATGTTAGTGAAGTTTATTATGCTGGAAAAAGCTTCACGCTTTAGTGAGACCTCTTTCAAGAGTATCTTTTAGAGTATTTGATGCTCCAAAGAGAAAGTCTCATTAAAGTATTCCTTTAAGTTCAACTAAAAAAATAATACTCCTTGAGTCAATCGTAATTAAATATTTTGTGTTTCTGCATCATATTTTGCTGTGCAGTCAGTGTATCAAGTGTGTTTCCTATAACAATAATGTTCAATTCCTTGCTGAGACACTCACAATACACCAGAGCGGGATTAAGTGTTAATTCACAAAATGAAAAGATGTGAGAGAGGCTTATAGATTTAATAAATGTAATGTTGCAAATATAAGAAACTGCTTTACTTAGTTTACCCAGACATTAAAACATGGTTTAAAAAACTATCAATTATTTGGTCTAAAGAACATGGAATTTACAAAACAGATGTAAGTGCAATCTTTTTAAGAATGTTGTAAATATGACTTCATGCAGTGTGACATATAGTGTATTATTTGAAGTTATATTTTTTGTTATTTTTTCAAGAAAACAACCCCACTAACATTTTTAACAGTATTAGGTATAATCAATGAACAATCAAGAGTAATTTGCATTTGTATTAAATATTAAGAAAGAAAATTGCAGAGAAACAACATTTACATATTGTGAGTATCTTTGACACCTGAGAAAAGCTTTGCATGCATTTTCAAAGCTGATAAAATAAAACCCTGAATTGTTTACATCTATGTCTGCAGTCTTCTCCCTCCTTCACTTTGTCGGTGCTTTGCTACATTTCTTGTGCACATGCATAATACAAGAGAAGGACCCACCTAGAAAAAAGAAAAGTGCTCCCAGTGGTCAAAGACCACACAGGCCACCTTTAACTTTACATTTAGATAAGACTGTGAGACACATGTGAAGTTGATCAGTAGAGAACTGTTTGATTATTTGTGCCTCTTGAGCTTCTCCATGAGATGGACACTGATGACAGCAGACACCATGATGACCAGACCGACAGAGAACACGACTGTCTTCACCAGGCAGAGAGAGATACCAGCCTCTGGACCTGCAGCACAACAACACAGGTTGTTTCCTCAATGAAACAGATACAGCAGATTCAGATGTAATACTACAGCATAACAAATATGTTAGTCCTCTTTACTCTGTTTGGACGGCACTTGTGTGTTTTGTAGTTTACTCAAGTATTGTAATTGCCCTTTTTGTACTAATTCCTCTTTGTTCTACAATCAAGAATAAGAACAACAACATTTGTCAAACATGATAAAACTGCATTAGCCAAAGCAGAAGCAGCATTAAACTATTTATTGAATCATTATCATCATTTAATGTCCCTTTAAATAAAACTTTAAAAAGTTGTATTTCACTCCTGCAATCTGACATGGTCGTTGATCATGTTCTGAACTTATTTACTTGGACAAAGTTAAAAAAATAAAATAAAATTCTTAACTCCACACTGTGCATTATTATCATTTCATCTGTCAGACTTACGTTTGTGTCCAGCACACAAATATTCAGTCAATTTACTGTCCTTTTCCCAGCTGACCTGGTTGCTATGGTTACAGATGATTGAATCATTCAGCAGTTGGACATGGAGAGAAGCACCAGAGGTTGTGACCTTTGACCTCTCTCCTCCCTCCTGACTGCAGGTGTTGGTGTCACATGTAAAGGTGCTGTTGATGTGATGTGAGTCCTGTGTGCTGCAGGTCACAGTGAGGCTACAGGAGTCTGAGCTGCTGGACACAGAGTCTACTGTCAGGGCAACTGGAGACACTGGATCTGAGGGGGAAAGTTTACATGAAGCGTTTCAGAAACATGGCAGCAGATTGTCTCTGGGATGTTAACAAACCTACCTTGAACTGTGACGCTGTATCCAGCTAGTATTTTATCTCCTTGAGCACCTATCGCTCGTGCAGTATAAACTCCACTGTCTGCCTCTTGTAGATTCTTCAGTTTCACAGAGAAATTTTTCACAGAAGCCTCAACCCTTCCAGTGTAAACATCCGGGACTGTTGGTTCTCTACCAGGTAAAAATGTTACTAAAACCACCACTCTATTAAATGTCCATGAAAGAACAATAAATTCCTCAGGTACATCAGCCTCTGTGATCTCCAGGTGTACGTTCTCTCCCCTCTGTGCAAATACAGGAGTCACAGCACTGGAGCCTGTAAAAACAATAATCAAAATAATATGACCAAATACAGTGTATTTCAATCAGATTTCTGTACTTCATTTCTGAAACATTGGATAAAGATTTACAGTAATTCAGGCCTCATGTTTGAAAATGTCACAATTGTAGTTCAAAATTATGAAGTGCGTCCAGCTTTTCATGGTTTATCAAAGGAGGGAAAATGTATTTTTTGCTTTGTTGCTGCTCCTGCTGGCCTACTATTCATTTAGACTACCACTACTACAGTATATCTTCTCTTTACAGGCTGATGTCTCTGCATAAAAAGTCACTGACCTGCTGTATGTGAGCCAAAACAAATCAAAAGAATATTGACAGATATATTTATGAATAAATTAAAAAAACAAACAAAATAAACAAACAAAAAAAACATAATTTGAGGTCTCCTCTGTTCTGCTCTGACTTATTATTAGTCGTTGTAATACCCAGCACTGAACACTAGGCTTTTGTTTGTTTTCTGGATAACCAGGATACTATTTAGATCAGGAGGCTGAATCTCTGTTGTTAATAACAGGTGAAAAACACCCCACATCCACTAACTTCCACTAAACCCTTTTAGATCCACAGTGATGTCCTTTTTTTTTTTTTTTTTTATCAAACTATTAAGTTTTTCTTTCAAACTACATAAAGGAGCAGAACATATTTACTGCAATAGAATCAGCCTTTTTTTTTTTTTAGATGATGTTTGTTTTTTCCATGGTTATACCTACAAAGGAGGCTCAGGCAACCCTGTGAATCACTGATCTCTTCTTCATGGCTGCTGTGATAAAAACAGCACATTCTTTCAGATAGAACATGTATGTATTTCTAATCAACATGAACGTCACATGTTCATCAGTTCTGCCCCTGGTGCTCAGTTTATCATTCACAGTAAAGAAGCCTGCTCACGTATCATTGCTGTATCTGTTAATAACAGTTCATTAGTGTTCTTGTCTTACCTGGTGCCTCTATGCAGACCAGCAGTCCCAGTATCACAGCGACAGACGTCATGTTCTCTGGCTTCGCTCAGTCCAAACTGCACCAATGTGAGGTGTTGTGTTCTCCTCTAACAGATCACAGGGTTAAAGTCTTATTACAGATGTGCTTTTCCTGTCAAAACCACACTCACAGTGTTAGAATCCGAAAGTGAACAAATGAACTTCTCTAAGTTCTGTATTACTGCTTGAGATCAGTTAATAAACACTGAATATTTTTTAATGCAAACCTTTATCAAAGTACCAATTGATATCCATGAAAAGATGATGAATAGTAGTATTATGTGTTCCAGCAAATCTTGTGGGCTTCTTTGCTTAATAAATAATAGCTCTCTCTATATGTATAGTTCTTATTTATTCACTCAACAGGACCTAGTTTTTTATGCTGCACCAGAGTTAACTGGAGAGTCATTTTCACCTGTGGCCTCCAGGACAAGAGAAATTTGAAAGAAAAAAAGTGAAAGAAACAAAAGAAGGATAAAAAACGTTACATAGGAACTACAAATTGCTAATCTTTGTTCTATGTATTTGTTTTACTGGTGCAGTTTTTGTTCACTTCAACACTTAAGTTGCAGTGATGACCACTTCCTTTCTGATCGCTCTGTATTTAACACATCTTGTGTTCTCGGTTTACTCTATGCAAGATGGAAAATACCTGTGATGAAGTGTAAAAAAATAAACTGTCATCTTTACACAGTGATCACTCTGCACTCTAGGAAACAAAGATAAAAGAAAAAGCAGAAAACCAACCAAAATTAAAAGAAATGTCAGTTTGTTCTTCTACATTTCATTTGACCTGATCTGTGCAGCACCTTGCACCGATGTGCAACAAGGAGACACATCTGAACATCTGAAAACAGTTCACATGAGAATTAGTACAGTTTCTTTAAAACAAACTGGTCTTCCGTGTCCTCCTTCCTGCTCTGAAGGTCACAGGTGATACATGAGTCGTCAGGTTTTATCTGCTCTCTGTGCTTCACTCTTCAACATTGAACTCTGAGAAGTCTGAAATCTGGACTCAGAGATCACCTGACTGGTTCTGTTGAGCAAAAGATTTTAATGTAAAATCAGAGGGAATGATAATAAAAGAGTAACATAGATATAAAAAATAGAAATAAATAATTAGAATAAAAATGGATCACATAGGATGCATAAAATCAAGTAAGAATGCACCACAGGTTTTGATTACACCTGGGTCAGAGACTTGAACTTTACATTGTATTGTAATGTATTAAACTCTCCTGCTCTGGTCCCTTTGGATCCAGTCCCAAACCTGGACCTCCACATGGTCGTCCTTCACTGCCGCCGCACTGAGGATTACTGTAACTGCTCCGTCTCCTGCTGTGATGAGGACGGCTTTGATCAGAACGGTTGCGCTAAAGTAGAGGCGGTGCTCCTTAAGCCCCACAGTACCTGGTCATGTCTCTCACCTGACCTTTTTGACCTTGACCTTTTTTTTTTTTTTTATAACAAAGAAAGAAGGATAAACTTGAGAGAAACGGGGCGGCCGTGGCTCAGGGGGTGCAGCGGATCTACTAATTAGAAGTTCAGTGGGTTGATCCCCAGCTCTTCCAGGCCGCATGTCTTTAGGCAAGATACTGACGCACGGAGATGCATTTACAACAGCAACAATACCATTCACTGTTGAAGCTTCTGGACACTACTGAGTCAGGAAAAGAGGCAAGACAAAGAACAAGAAATCTAAATCTCATAAAGCAGGTTACATGAAAATACTAAAGCACCCAGCCGATCAACTGGAGCCGGTCTGTGCCTGTGTGTGCGTTTCCGGTTTACTGTGGTCTATAGCAGCATGTAGCTACGGCCATGTGAGGAAGTGTGATCCAGGGCATGCATGCTTGGCAGAACCAACTCACCAATAAACAAGAAGTGGGCAAAGCAGATGCAGTAAACTGATACAGGAAGTGGTTTTTTTTAGTTTCTGCTGGGTGTAGCCTGATTTTTCTGTGAAATCATCTCATTTGTGTGTCTCAGCTCCTTCTCCTCTTCTGCTTCCTGTTCATCAGACCAGACCTCAGACTAAACACAATTTAGACTAAAATTATACATACATTTGTATACATTTGTTGTTGAAATGCATGTTTAAACTGTGTTTAAATCCTAATCCTGTGCAGTATATCAGTTGAATTCACATCATATTCTCCTAATTTATTCCTCTTTAACACTGCTTTAATTAATGCCATGACATTTTGCCTTTATTTTTCATTGTTGTATTGTCTTTCAAGCACAGTGGGACGTATAAAGCATAATGTTGGCACGCTTTTCTCGTTTCCTGTGTTTACAGCGTGAAATGTTTTCCTTGGAGAATCCCACCATGAATTATTTTACTCTGATTTACAGCGAGAAGTGTGTGACAAGAAGCCAAATCTGTCGAACAAACAATGACAGATTTCGCTGTGATGCATCATCTGCATTTTGATGACATACAAGTCACTCATAATCTCTCCCAATCCACAATCCACAGACCTCGAACCCGTGAAGCTGTAGAACAAATCTTTCTTTGCTGCACTGCAGGTAGCGACGCCAGCATGATGTCTTTCAACACAATACCCGGTGTTTGCATTTCTCTTGCCAATTCACAATGTTTTCCCACTCTCGTATTAATCTATCTGCTGCCTTTTCTTGCTCACAGATCCTGCGCGTGTTTAAAGGAAGCGCTTTAAAGAAGCAAATGTTGCCTGCTTCTTCAAAAGGAGCAATGATCCAGGCCAAACTCCTGCCCTGCCAAAGCCTGGACCTGAACCAGAGCAGCTGAAAGACATGCTGGTCAGTTCATAGCCTCATCAGATGCGTCTCTGCATCTTAAAACTCTCTGCGAGAGACGAGGCTTTAGCAGCATTAACACTGAGGAGGAATAATCTGTCCACAGTTTTTACTGATAGGCCAGGGATTTTTTAGACCATGACTCAGATAATCCATCTTCAAATAGACAAAGGATGCAAGATGGATCATATTCTGAATACATTTGCACAAATTGCTGATGAAATATTACGTCAACTTCCAGAAGAGAAAGACAGCTATAAAGCCAGGAATCGTCATTGTTATACACTAAATTTCTTTATATCAGTTACAGTACATTTGCTTAAGGCTTCTGGAGACGATCGTCACTGCCACTAGACGTTGCACTAAACGGAGACGTTAAAAAAAAAAAAAAAAAAAAAATCACAACATCTGTGCACCATCAATTATAGGGTGGCCAGTGTGATTTATGAGGCTTTCTTTGTATGTAGAAAGGTCAGTGTTAATTGGAGTTGTGTAGGAGTTGAGGCATTTGAGAGTTTGGGTTTGACCTTTAACTATAGCGCCCCGGTGAGGTGCAAAGTGCATCATCCCTCAGTGTTTAATCAGAATCAGTCCAGTGACTTTGCACATACAATGTGGAGTTCTCCATCTGAGTCTTTTACCCTCATCTGTTTCATTGAAGTGAGTGTGGGGTGACGAAGGGGAGGACGATAAAGAGTTTTAATTTCAAAATGGCTTTTTTTTTCTTTTCTTTTTTTTTCCAAAACATCTGCACGGACGCTTCATTGGAAGCTCGTCACAAATTACATTATTCATGATGGGCTTCCAGCATTATAACAATGTGCATAAACGTTTAACAAGGTCATTGGAGTGAAATGAAATTGCCTGAGTTTTATGTCATTGCTCTTTGCATGCACCGTGCACCTGTTAATAATTCAGAGCCAGGTGAGAAAACTGAGGATCTATAGCGGTTGATTATTATGTAGCAGAGAGCACTGAGGCTGGATTACCAACCGGGCTAAAAATGGGCAACTGCCCCCGAGCTTCAGGCTTCCGGGTGATCAACTGTTTTGTGTTAATTTAATTGAAGAATTCTTTGGCACCATGAAAGGAAGCACATGATATGGGCCATAGAGTGGGTCCTGCTTTATTACCTGATCTTTGGTCCCTGTCTGGAAGTGAAGCTGGTCTTTGTTCCTTGAGTTCACAGGATTTTCTCCCCCCAAAACAATAAACAGGGCAGTTAGATCTCGTTATACGAACCGTCATCACTTCAGTTTTATGCTTAATGAGTTTAATCAAATCAAAAGCCAATCGAGGGTCAGTTAGTGTTTCAGCACAGAAAATCTGTACACATTGTCGGGGGGGAAAAAAATGGGGTTCATAGAGGTTCGTTTTTGTCTGGCTCTGCTTTCGTATTTTGAATGTGTTTGTTTTTGATAATCATCAGCAGATTCTGAATAAACAGGCTTGTCTTTATATCCTCATATAGTCGCATTTCTTCTGTCATGACACTTCGTCCATTTCGGTTCCTTTGTGAGTGTAAGAACAACAGATCCATCTCACATTTCCTACATTTTTACTGCTATTATTTCTATTTTCTGTCATTGGCAAATCACTATTTCAATCAATATTTCTAGCTTTGGAAATCAGTGTGTAAACATTATATATTAGTGACCAATATGTTGTTCTGCAGCAACTCTCTTGCAGTTTGTTTGATATTGTCCTCAAACTCTTTCATGATCTCAATGAGACTACGTCATCAGCTAAAGTTAAATAACTATAAATGATCAACAAAATACTGGTTCTCAGCTTGAACTATTTCTAATACTAATAACTCTAATTCTAACCCTTCACAACACTGTCTTGGATACTCTTATTAGTTTTCTTATTTTGCCCATGAGGGGGAATTTCTTTTTTTTTTTTTTCAATGAAAATGATCAAGTTAATGAAATGTCCTCTACCAACAAAATATTCCATCATTGGCAATTATCTTCTAAATCTTCAAAATCGCTCAAACTCTAATTTGCAATCAAGTCAGACCCGAAGCGTCCGTCTCCTTTTTCCTGTCCCTGACCCAACAGACCACATCAGTACAGTTACACCAAGGACATCCATTATGAGTCACATTATCATCTGCTTCCGTAATAAATAATTACCTACCACCCCTAATTTACTCCCTTCCCTTCCCCGCCGCTCACCGCGCAGCACCGCTCTCCGGCCACAAGGCGGCGACAGCATCAAGCACAAAGCCCC